GTCAAAGATGGTGTGAGATTTTGTCCCATTTAATTTTTGTATACCAAGTGAGACGTGTAGTATTTCTTTTAAAACAGACTGTCGAGGTAGAAAATTTAAAATTGAAACACAAATACCTTGGTTGATTGTCATTGTTGGAAAAAAAGAAAAATGTATTTTGAATAGTAATTTTTAAGAAAATGTATGGTTAAAATAGAAAAAGATTTGAATTTATGTGTAAAATATTTTATTGTATGAATATGATTAAAATGAGTATGTAAAAAAAAAAAATTCAAATAATAATCGTCAAATAGAACAGAAATTTTTTAAAAAAATTACGTTCAAAATATTTTATTTTATCGAGTATTTCTAAACTTTTTTTGTATTACTGCGCAGTCAATATGAGACAGATCTGCTCATTGTCAGCCGTATACAATTGTTAAACAAACAAAAACCCAAATGGACACATCCGTGCAAGTTTCACATCACATTCGTCATCAATGGTTGAAGAACGAGTTCATTATTTATTCACACAAGAAAACAGCCCCAAAACTTTGACATATTTCGAGCATTTATTTCTTCAGATCACTCATATCTGTCCTCCTCCTCAACTTCAGCAGAAGTTGCAGAGAAATTAAAAAAAGAAATTGAAACAGATTTGAAAATCGCGTATTTTCACCCACACGCCACTGATTTTGAATTCCAACTCCATACGTGTCTGTCTCCATCTTTATTTCTTCGCATTTTGGCCGTTGCTGTAGTTGCATCTACCCCTTCCAATCCCTACCCACATTCAATTCCAGATCCATCTATACACTATATATACACACATCCTGTTCATAATTGTTTTTCCTCAAGAAAACACATTTTCACACACTAAATCCATCACCCCGGTAAAAAAATATGAGCATTTCAGTGTCCAACTCCGCCGCCGTTTCTGGTGGCGCCACCGGTAGAAATAGATTCCCAGATTACCTTCAAAATGTGAAGCTTAAGTATGTGAAACTTGGGTACCATTACTTGATGACCCACTTTTTAAAACTCTGTTTAGTCCCTTTAATGGCCATTCTGTTCGTTCAAGCTTCACAAATGAACTATGAAGATGTATACAATCTTTATCTCCATCTCCAGTATAATCTTGCTCTCGTCATTGTTTTTTGTACAGTAATAGTATTCGGATTCACCGTCTACATGCTGACTCGACCCCGACCCGTTTACCTTGTGGATTACGCCTGTTATCGTCCTCGTGATCACCTTCAAGTCAAATTCAATCGGTTCATGGAACACTCGAAACTGACAGGTGATTTTGACGAATCCTCTCTCGAGTTTCAGCGCAAAATCTTGGAACGGTCCGGTCTTGGGGAAGAAACTTATTTGCCAGAGGCAATGCATTGTATTCCACCGCGGCCCTCCATGGAGGCGGCGCGTGAGGAAGCTAAAGAGGTCATGTTTGGCGCACTCGACAATCTTTTCAAATCCACCGGTGTAAAGCCTAAGGACATTGGCATTCTTGTAGTGAATTGCAGCTTGTTCAATCCAACCCCTTCACTTTCTGCAATGATCGTGAATAACTACAAATTACGAGGGAATATACGGAGCTTTAACTTAGGTGGCATGGGCTGCAGTGCTGGAGTTATCGCCATTGATCTTGCTAAAGACATGCTTCAAGTTCATAGAAATACATACGCAGTCATTGTGAGTACTGAAAACATTACGCAGAATTGGTACTTCGGGAACAGGAAGTCAATGCTAATCCCCAATTGCTTGTTCCGAGTAGGTGGAGCAGCAATTTTGCTGTCAAACAAACAGTCAGAGAAGAAAAGGGCCAAATTCAAGCTTGTTCATGTTGTGAGAACACACAAAGGAGCAGATGATACAGCATTCAAATGTGTGTATCAAGAACAAGACGAAAAGGGCAAAACTGGAGTCTCATTATCAAAAGATTTGATGGCAATTGCAGGAAATGCATTAAAAGCAAACATCACAACATTAGGTCCACTTGTTCTTCCAATCAGTGAACAGTTCCTCTTTTTTATAACCCTAATTGCACGAAAATTCTTCAATCCCAAAATTAAACCCTACATACCTGATTTCAAACTTGCTTTTGATCATTTCTGCATACACGCCGGCGGGCGGGGAGTGATTGATGAACTGGAGAAGAATTTGCAGCTCGACCCAGTTCACGTGGAGGCTTCTCGAATGACTCTGCACAGATTTGGTAACACTTCATCGAGTTCGATTTGGTATGAATTGTCGTATATTGAGGCAAAACGGAGGATCCGAAGAGGACATCGGATTTGGCAAATTGCATTTGGAAGTGGGTTTAAGTGTAATAGTGCAGTTTGGCAAGCGATGAAGAACTCGGAGCTTTCTCCATGGAGTCCTTGGCATGACTGCATTGACAAATATCCAGTCCAGATAGCCAACTGAAATTGAGTAAAATATTAAGGAAGAAAGAAAGTCAAATCTTGATATTATATTGCACGATTATGTTTAGTTGTGTTTGAAACGAACGAGATTCAATGGGGCACGATACATATGATTTTAGCTTTTTGTTTTATACTATTTGATACTGTCGAGTCCATAGATGTTGGAACATATGTTGTATTTTCGTTGTTATCGAGGGTTGATCTTAGAAATATTTACAGGATTTTGTGTCTTGTAATGCAAACTCTGCTTGACTGTGAATCTATATTTGTATCTAATTGTGCCCGTAATGTTTTATGCTTTAGAGTTCTTGTTTGGGAAAGCTTAAGAATCGTTGAAAAAGTAGAGATCAAAGTAAACAATTAGTCCCTTTTTGATTTGGTTAAATTTTTTTTTATAAAAGTTAGAGCTTGTTTGCCTCCCATTTTGGGAGAATTATAGAGTTTTGAATAGTCGTTTTTGGATAATTTGTGGTTGAAGGCACCGTTTGAGATTAATTTTCACTCCTAAAAATTGATTTTTTGATCGTTATTTTACTATTCCGACCGTAATTTTTTACTTCTTCTCTCACAGGTTATCCACACTTTTCTCATAACGGTCAAAAAATTAATTCTCAAAATCACAACCAAACAGGCCCTTAAAAAACTTTATTGATTTGTGTGTACAATATTTTAGTGTGAATGTGTGGTGAAGAATATTACTATAACAGACATTTTATTTTATTAAAGGATGACAAACATAATCTTAATAAAATGTGTGTTGAAAAGTTGATAAAAATTGTGGGTTCTACATAATATGTGGTTGAAAATAAGTTTGAAAAAAAATAATTTAAAAATATTGGAGCCAGACATGGGCTTCATTTTATACTACATATTTTCCAAGATTTGTAACTTTTCAACCATATATTTTAGCAATTTTTATTGAAAGTTTTGTCAAACAACCCATTAGTAAATATTGTGTGAAATGGGCATATTAGCATACGACTAGCATGTTGGACTAAGATGAAAAAGTTTATTTCTTAAGTCTAAACAATCTTTTATTGATTAAAGTTGAAAAAAAGTAATTTTTTTATTTTGATGCTAATGTAAACTTTACAATAAGACAAGTAGTTTTTTAGTTATTGTTCACTTCTTTATTAGAATCTTATGTTATCAACCTGATAGTCTCATGTTCAATTTGATATAGGATTTCATAAGAAAGAGATATTGAAAAGATATAATCGTAATCTCCCATAAAATTTAGTCCAAATAAGTTGACTTGATCAAGATAAGACATTCTACCAAGACGTTAATAAGAGAAAATAGGCTCAAAAGGGCCTCTAAAACGGCGTCTAAATTCACTAGTAACTCCATAGTTTCTATCTGTTAATAATATCTTTTTTTAATCAATGAAAAGTTAAAAGCTACTTTAAAGTCCAAGAAACTAATTTTGAACGTGGTCAAGTAACTTTCTCAAAGTATTTTGTATGATTAAAAGAAACTTTAGGAGAAGTGACTCTTTCAAAAGAAGTAAAAACAAAAATAGAAGATTTGCCAAACGAATCTAAATAAACGTTCCTTATTTAAAAATGAAGATTTGATAGATGAAAGGACTGCACTACGCGTACATAGGAAGGGTTCATAGATCACACACAATGGGGGGGGGGGGGAATATTTTTTTGACAATATTTTACTTACATGGAGTCCACCCCATGTGAGTATTCTGCAGTGGTTCTCTGTACCCATGGAAAAATCCTAGATTAAATGCACCAAGATGAATTTTTGATACGATAACAAGGGCAAGCACATGCATTTAACTAATAACAAACTATTCCCGAGTGCTGGAATGTCTTGGCCAAAAAAAATAAAATAAACTTCTAGGAGTTTTTTTGATAAAGCTTTCAATAAAAACTGATGTAACTTTTAGTATAGTTATAAAATTGATAAAAATTTATGAATTTCATAACGTGCATAATGTTAGGAGTATGGCTCAAATAGAAGTCTTTTGAAGAAGTGTATTCGATTGAGACTAGGAGAATATTAACTTAGGATTTAAAGAAACTAAGTTGAATAAAGAAACAAAATCCTGTTAAAATTAAATATCCTGATTGTAATATATTTTCTTGCCTTATATGACTCTTCTAGAGTTGGCCTACAAATACGAGGCTCCTTTAGTCAATTTGTAAAGAGTAACATAAAAGTAGTATTGTTAGTCTGTCTTGTATTTTCCATGTTGTTGAATTAATAAACATCGTTCCTCTGCGTTTACCCTTTATGTTCTTTCTTTACAAATTCAATTTTGTATTTTCGTGGTGTGATCTAGTATACTTCAATATTGTCATTAAATCTCGTTCTTTATAATCCGATTTGAAATCAACGTGTGTTATTGGAGCTTCCGCACCTAACAAGTGGTATCAGAGCTTGGTTCCTTTCGTAGATTGGTTGAGATTTTTCAGGATGGCTGGTTTGAAGTATGATATTCCACAACTAGGTTGCAATACAAGATTTACTTTGTGGCAAGTAAAGATGATGGTTGTTCTGACGCAGTTGAATTTGGTCGATGCGTTACTGGATTTTGAGAAGATGCCAGCTGATTGGACAACGAAGGATAAACAAAGGAAGGATCAGAAGGCTTTTTCATTGATTAATCTTCATTTATCCGACAATATTTTGCTAGATGTTTTGAAGGAGAAGACGGTTGCTGCTTTGTGGTTAAGACTAGAGTAGTTATGTATGACTAAAAGTCTTACTAGTAAACTGGCTCTTAAGCAGAAGTTGTATTCCCCTTTGTGACTAAAGAATGATTGTTGGAATATCACATTGCCGTGTTCAAGGAAATAGTTGCAGATTTGGAGATGTTGGAGGTTAAGTGACAATAAGTCTTACTAGTAAACTTGCTCTTAAGCAGAAATTGTATACCCATCGCATGACTAAAGAATGATAGTTGGAAGATCACATTGCCGTATTCAAGGAAATAGTTGCAAATCTGGAGATGTTGGAGGTTAAGTGACTAAAAGTCTTACTTGTAAACTGGCTCTTAAGCAGAAATTGTATACCCATCGCATGACTAAAGAATGATAGTTGGAAGATCACATTGCCATGTTCAAGGAAATAGTTGCAGATCTGGAGATGCTGGAGGTTAAGTACGATGAAGAGGATCTTGCCTTGATCTTGTTGTGTTCACTGTCTGAGTTTCATGCGTCGTTTCGGGATACTATCTTGTATAGTCAAAATACTTTGACTATAAAAGATGTCTATGATGCTTTGTACTCAAAAAAGAAAATGAAGCATTTGGTTGGAGCTACATCAAGGGATAGGGAAGCTCTTGTATCTCAAAGTGGTCGACAAAAAAGCAGATCGAGAGTCAGATTTGGCAATGTGACTTGTTACTACTTCAAAAGGAAGGGACATGTTCGGAAGGATTGCGATATGCTGTAGGCTAAAGGTGATTTAGCTGTAAATCGTGGGGTGCAACCTTTGAATGCAGACGAAATCAATGTAGTTGAGAATTGTTCAGGTAGCGAAGAGGTGATGTTGACCGTGGTATCTGATGTGGAGTCTAGGCTCGACAAGGAGTGAATTCTTGATTCAGCATGTTCGCACCATATGTGTTCCGATAGGAATTTATTTCAGACATATGAGGTTGTTTAGCAAAGTGGAGTTGTAATGGAAAACAACCAATCTTGTCGTATTGCTGGGATCGTTCGAATCAGATTGAGGTTGCGAGATGGAACATTTAGAACAATTAATCAGATTCGACATGTTGCTGACCTGAAAAGGAATTTCATTTCGCTAAATACCCTGGATGCAAAAGGGTATAGATTCTTTGGAAGATGTGGAGTCTTGAAAGTCCGAAAGGGAGTCCGAGTTGTACTGGAGGGACGGAAAAGATCCCAGTTGTACATTTTACAGGGGAGTGTAGAACCAGTTAAGAGGAGATATTTGGACAAGTTTAGTACTGTGGTGGAAGTTCAGTTTGGTATAGTACATTTTGTGTTGGGCTCTGAGTCGATCAGAACACTGTAATTTCAGCAAGTACACTGCGTTCAGTTGCTGGGGTAGGACTCATCAGGCATAGGTACCATGGTGTCAACAATGTCTGGGATGCTTCTAGGGACGTTGAAGGTGATAGTTCCAGCAAGATGCCTTCTGATCAAGCATCTAGTTTGATTCTTGCTACAAGGTGTGCTTCGACCTTGTGTGATCAACATTAATTTCTTGGTGGAATTGGGAACTCTGGGGATTGGGTTCAAGTGTCAGTTGTGAACGTCGATTAGAGGATGAGCGTTTGGTTTATATGGAGTGGTTATTGCGTTGAGTAGATTCGGGCAGTTAATTTTGATGCAGATGAATTTGAAATCTAGGATTTTCGTTCATAGCACCGAAATTTGAGTCAAGGTGAAGATTGTTAGGAGCATGACTCAAATAGGAGTCTTTTGAAGGGATGTATTCGACTTGAACTAGGAGAATATTAACGTAGGATTTAAGGAAACTAAGTTGAATAAGAAAACAAAATCATGTTGAAATCGGGTCTCTTAATTGTAATATATTTTCTTGCCTTTTTGGACTCTTTAGGATTGACCTATAAATACGAGACTCCTCTGGTCAGTTTGCAGAGAGTAACATAGAAGCAGTATTACTAGTATGTATTGTATTCTCCATACTGTTGAATCAATAGATATCGTTCATTTGCGTTTACCTTTTGTGTCCTTTCTTTACAAATTCAATCTTATGTTTTCGTGGTATGATCTAGTATTAATGTGAACACGATAGCAACTAACACTAACGAACCCACAGAAGAATGACACAAATCCCAAGAAAGCCAGAAAACAAAGTTTTGGACGCGATTCACAAATCTGTGGACCAAACAATCAATAGTGTATCAAACTATTAACCTTTTGATCACAAAATTTACGAACTTAATCCGAATTTTGGACTTAACCCAATTAATAATTGAACCAAACAACCCCAAGGTAACAAAGACACGAAGGACCTTTTGATTACAAGATTAATTGAATCTTACCCGAGGTTTGAATGCCACAAGATCGTGAAATCTTGATAAGTTCGGTTTGTTAAGCCAGAACAAGGATTGGAAGCAATTTGCCTCTCTGAATTAATTCTCAAAATATCAAAGTCTCCTTACAATGAATGGAAAAATTGCAATTTATACCTAAACCCTAAATTAATGGAAAAACGAAATTTTAAGAGTCCAAACATAGTAGACTTGCCAAAAATAAGAATTATAGCTAAATTAAAAGTCTCGCGAAAAAAAAAAAGAAATTTCTGGCTCGAAAATGTGCTATGTGGTCGCATAGTACAATTGGATGCGACCGCATAGAAGAAGCAGTTCACCTGGCTAATTTCCCTGCCTCCATGTATGCGACCGCTGACTCCAATTGTGGTCCTTTAATTCAATCGGTCCCAAAATTATTAGGCTCTGGTCCCCAACACGAAACTGGACCCTTGGTTTGCCAACTTTACCCTTTTGAACTTCGTTCCTTGAACACACATTTGTATGGCTTTGTGCATTGTCTTTGACCCGAATGTTCCTCGATCGAGCCCTTTGAGCCTTCTCATGACCTTCGCACTCGGGATTGACCTTGGTTGACTCAAGATCACATCAAGTATACTTCAATATTGTCATTAAATCTCGTTCTTTATAATTCGATTTGGAATCAACGTGTGTTATTGGAACTTCTGCATCCACCACATAATTAATAAAGATTTGATGTAGATCTGAAAACTCTTTGGAGCTACAAAGGACAACGCCTCCATCTTGCGACGTACAAGAATCTTCATTTTGGACCGAAAAGTTGATCGTTGACTCATAACATAATGTTGTATACACATTTATTATACTATATAAATGTATATATTTATTAGGCAGCGGGGAGAGGACCGAGGGAAGTTGAGCAGGGGTTGGTAGTGGGTGG